AGTAATGACCAGAACAGTGAACGTACTATTTCGAAAGTAAAACCAATGCCACACTGGAGTGAAATCTTACGAATATATCTAAGGAAAAAGCTTCCAATGTATATGGTACCGTCACATTTTATGAGTGTTTTATCATTTCCATTAAGTCCAAATGGTAAAATCGATCGAAAAGCTTTACCAGAAATATCGCTATCAGTGCTTCAACAAGAAGATACCTATAATGCACCAAATACTGAATTAGAAAAGATGATTGCGAACATTTGGCAAGAAATATTATACACAAATCGACTTATTACACAACACGATGATCTAGAATCGAATAAGCTGCCATCCATTGCAAACAAAACAGTATCTTCGATATATTATCCAACTAAAAGCGTCTCTGATCTAGACAGACAAACGTCTTTTCTCATATCTACTACAGCTAGTTTCTTCAGCGTTGGCGGTAATTCTCTTCTACTTGTTCAGATCTATCAATATTATCAATCAAAATTCAATTTTGAGACAGAAGCATTGAATATTCGATCATTGTTTGACTATAACACCATAGTAGAACACGCAAAACTACTTGAAACAATCATCGTCGATGGCACGCAACTAAAGCAATGGCATACACTGAATATTAACGATGGTAAGATATTTTTAATTTACTTTTTCAATAGCTAAAAATATTATTTTCACAAATTTGTAGGTATCGCATCGTATGCTCAAGAACGCATATATCTTGATGAGAAAATGCGTTTTTCTGGAGAAAATGCCATTTACAATGAGTTAACTGTTCTACGAGTTACGAAAGGTTCATTATCAATGAATCGTTTATTGCAAGCTCTTCGCTGTGTTCTGCGCAAACATAAGATATTAAGAACTTCTTTAGTTTTCAATGAAGAGGATAGTATTTTAAAACAATATATTACTGATAAACATATGACATTTACCATGGCTACCGATCAAACATTTCAAAATGAAGATGAACTTCAAAATATTATTCATCAAATGATCATCAATCCTACGCTCTTCGATTTATCAAGTGGTCGTGTTTTTTATTGTCAAATTCTCAGACAACAGATGACGGCTAATAAAAATCATGACAAAGAGATTATTACAGATTCTGATGCTCTCGTCATTGGCTTTCATCATGTTTCAATTGATGGATCAGCTGTCTCAATTTTTTTGAATGATCTAAGTAATATTTACAATAATCACATGACGTGGTTAGATGATGAAAAATCATTACAATATATTGATTATGCTGTCCATGAACGTCTCATTGATATGACGTTGTCATGTGAATTTTGGCGCTTACAATTCGAAGGATGTAACCTGAAACGTCGATTGTCATTACCAATCGATCATCAGCGTTTATCTAATGATCAACGATCTGGTTTCGCTTCTACCGTGCAAATCACTTTCGACAGGAAAATATCGTCATCATTTCTTAACTATGCTTCTTTACATCATTTAACACTATTTCAACTCGGATTGGCTACATTCTACACATTTTTATTCAAGTTAACATGTAGTCAAACTGATTTATGTATTTCATGCGTTAATGCTAATCGATACAGACCTGAATTACAGACTATGATAGGAATGTTTGTTTCAACATTACCATATTGTATGCAACTTGATCCTTGTTGGGCATTTGATGAAGTAGTTAAACATGTACGAGAAAAATGTTTATCAATTCTTGAACATTCTCATTATCCACTTCAACATATTCTTCGTGATTTTCATCTTAATCAATCAACTGCTTCTTTTCTTCAAACAGTTTTTGATTTCATTACTGTATCTTCAGTTAACGATCAGCTTACTTTCGATGATGTGAGTTTACAGCCAGTGTCGTTAAAACAGTGTTCGGAAGTGGCTAAATTTGATTTTAAGTTGACATTTATTTACAATCCAGTCTCAGTTGACAACATATTGTTATGTCATTTTATTTGTTCACGTGATCTATTTGAAGATACGACAGTTACAAAAATGATACAAAGATTTCAATATCTTTTTGAACAACTTTTTTCAACAAATTTCAATGTTAATCAAACTGATTTAGTAGTTTCACCTATCACCAGACTTACTCTTATCTTACTAGATGAAATGAATGAAATGCAGCAGGTAGCTTTTTACCGTCAATCAAATGTGACGAATGAAGGTATGTCTTTTTCCTATTTATCATATATATGATACTTTTATTGGTATAGATCAGTTAAATGAGAGAGACATGTGTGATATATATAAATATTATACTTTTAAAGTTAAAAGTATTGATTGACTTGTGTTAGTTCTAAATTCATAATGTTAGCCTGTTTTTCAATACAGAATAAAAATATATAACATGAAAAGGAGTTACTAATCTCCAGTGTTAAATCACTTCAAAAGTTTTTTCCGGGTAAAATATTATACAGTATAGATATATGAAATTTAGCAGTAATGTTAAGCATAAGAATTGTGATTAAAAAGGCGATAAATTCTTGGCATGATTGTTTTCGACTGGAATGCTAAAAATAATATGACAACTGAGCAAAACATAGTTTTTTTTAAATATTGATGTGATATAATAAAATTCAGATTTAATTCAGAAGATAATGAGTGATCTTGATATCGATGACAATTTCGTTATCTTATAATAATCTAATTATACCATTATAGTTATTAACGCTGCTATTTGATAGTTGTTTTTTTGGTCAACTCTGTTTCTGTAAACATCAATTAAAACAACAATCTATTTTAGTGACGCTAACTTATTTTTTTAAATTAAGATTAGACACTGTTCAAGTGCAAATCGCTTCTTTACGCCACAGTTTGAAGCTTTTTAGGCGAATCTATATTTATAATTTTAAATAAAGCTAATTATTTTTTAGAAAAAACTATTTTGAATATATGATGATAAATATAAGAATATGATCAGAACCGTAATTCCAAAGATACATTTGTCGATAGATGAACCCAGTTTGATTTGAATACGTTTCTTTCTTAAAGCACCGGCATCATTTGCACAAGCTCGTGTTTGGCTCGATGAACGAATTCGATTCGATTCAGACAGACCTCAAACAGCAATCTATAATATACCTTTTGTTTATCGTCTCCAACCAGGTCATACTTTATCGATTAAACAACTCCGTCATGCTCTTCATCTCACTGTTAAAAAACATCC